TCTGAGGCGGGAACCCGGGGAAAATGGCACTGGGGGCTTCCCTCCCTTCTGTCTGAGAGCGCCTAGAGGGAGCAGCGGGGCAGGGAGGCGGGGCCGGCACAGTCCGCCCTGCCCTGCCCGCTCTCGGGGCGAACGGGGCGGGACTCGAAACTTCGGGCGGTGGAAAACACGCACGCACCATGCACACATGTGAGCGCACACGCAGGCCTGCACATGCGCACCCCAGCGGCTCGGCGGGAGGAGGGGCGGCGGGTGCAAGGGGGCTGCAGCCGCCCTGAGGGGTACCACACGGGGTGCTGAGCACAGGCCGAGCCGGCCCCAGGCTGAGGCTTCAGCAGGACCCTCGTGCCGCACCCAGGGAGCCGGGAACGCAGAGACGGGGTGATCGAAGCACAGTCTGGAAAACATACAAATATTCCTGTGACCATTAAGTCAGGATGTTGTTGTAAATAACGAATTCACATGTGAAACTCAGATTTATATCGTCTGAGGGCTGCCCCTGCCTGTGTGGGCAGGCAGGGCATGGAGGCCCCGTTGGCTCTGAAAGGTGAAGGGCAGGTCGGGGGCTGGGCAGCATTCCAGTCCTGGAGGAGGAGAGCCTGGGGGCCGGAGGACGAGGGCACAGGGGTGCGGCTGGGCCGCTGCAAAGATTCGGAAACCCACCGTCTCTGCTCACCTGAGTCGGCACATGGGCAGAAACATGGCCACCAGTGGGGCGCGGGGTCAGGGCGGGCCCCGGGTTGCATGTGGGGGGCTCCCTGGGAGGACTCCGGACTGTGTCTCCCTTCTACTGACCCCAGTGAGGGCAGGAAGGGCACCACTCCCTGCCCATCCGAGAAAGCGGTATCCACGGCAAAAGCGCCACAACGTCTTCTGGGTGCACCTGGAAGGAAAGGGCCCCCCTGGGCTCCAGGTGACCCGGAGCGACCCCCGTGGCAGGGACACGCCTCCTAGGAGGCCACCTCACTGCTCCTCTCCCGTGACATCACCGTCAGCCCGGACTGATTGATTTCCGCATGAATATTCATGCGGCATTGCAGCCAGGATGAGCCATTAATATTCTCCGGAAGCAGAATGGAGCACCAGTCTCCTTGTGGAGTGAATGGCGGTCAACACGCAGCAGATGGGACGTGGCTGTGCGCTTTTCAGGCACGCACACGGGCCTTCGGGGTTCTTGTCTGAAGACACTCTCCCACTGACCGACTGGGGAGGCTGGGGCAGGACTGCCCCCTCTAGAGGGATGCCCACTTTCGGGTGGGGTGCCCCAGGCCCTGCCCTGCTCAACCACAGGGACCTCCCCAGCCAGCGACCTAGCCTAGTCGCCCTCCCCCCCGCCTTCCGGTGGCCTCTCTCCCGCCCTCCCAGACTCCCCGCCTCGGGTCCAGGCCCACAGGGCTCCCCACCCTTCCCCAGGCGCTTGTCTCATGCCGATGGGCACCCTGAGGGAGGGCCCACTTCACAACGCACCTGCCTGGGCCCGGGTCCGCCCTCAGCGCCTACCCCAGTCACCTGTCACTCTGGGCTTTTCCCACCACAGTTAGAGGGCAACCCAACCCACGCTGGGCCCTAGGAGGTTCCGGCTCATGCCCCGCCCGGCTCGGGCCCAGGCTGCTCCCACCAGTGCAGCCCGTCCCCAGCCCAGGGCTCAGGGTCAGCGTCCAGCCCCAGGTCAGGGAGGCAGGTGACGCGGCTGAACTGGCCAAAGGCGGAGGAGGTCTGCCCGACCTGGGCTCCCGTGCTGGTGGCCAGGAGTGGTGTGCTGGCCTCTCTTGGATAAGGCCGTGCTTCGGTCCTGGGCGCAGGTAGCTGTGCTCACCACGCACCCTCCTGCAGGCCCTCCCCCAGCACCAGCGCAGGGGCGGCCACCTAGCGAGCGCCACAGCCACTTTGCGAGAGGCCCCGGGTGACAGCTGCCAGCAAGCCTGGGCACGCTGCCCGCTGAGGGGGGAGGGGCGCAGCCCACGAGCCGCTGAATCAGCGCTCCCCCCCCTCCCCATCCCCTCCGGGCAAGGATGCTGGTGAGGTGGGGCGCTCCCTCTTCTGGGAGCTGTTAGGGAGGCGGCCAGCCTGCTGGGGTTTCTGGAAAGGGGCTCCTGGGTGCAGCCTGGTGCAGAGCGGCAGGCCAGCCTCGAGGGGACGGGGGCACTGGCCGTCCTAGAGGGGCTGGCCCAGAGAGGCCCTTTCCCAGCAGCAGCCGCGAGGGAGAAAGGAGAAGCACTGGCCCCTGCGGAGGGAAGGAAGCTCGCTCAGGCCCAGAAAGGGCTGAATCAGCACGGAGCGCCTGCCATCGGCTAGCTTCCTCCTCCAATCACACGCTGGAAGCCACAGGGACCTCTCAAGGTCAGGGACCATCAATATCTGTGCAGCCGGCCCCAGCAGACCGCCCTGTCCTCTGCAGTAGCACTGGGGGTCACCCTCTGGTCAGAGCTGGGGCGCACCTGCCCAGCCATCATGGGGGGGGGCATGCCCCTCCCCCACGGCCCCTTGGCAGACTGCCCCCACTGCGGGGGGAGGGGACGGGGGACCAGGAAAGACACAGAGGTCCGACCGCCCCTCGAGGTGTGACCTCCTCAGGGGCGGCCAGAAGTGCCCGTAGGACCAGAGAGAGCATCTTCTGAGATGCCGCGTCCACCCCAGCCCGGGGCCTGCACGGCCAGACTTTCTCAAGTAAGCTTCTGGTTTCTGGAACTTCCCAAAGCACCACCCCTCCTCGCCATCACCCCCCTGCTGGCTGATTTCCCTCCCCATGGACAGCCCCTCACACCCTCCATGCTGGCCACGGAGGGGTCAGGCCGTGGGAGGCCCTCAGAGTGCATAGGTGTGGCTGCTGAGGCTTTTCCTCCTGCCTCCCCAGCACCTGGCTCTGCCCGCAGGGACACAGCGCCTCCCCTCTTTGTTCAAGGGAAGTGCTTCTCCCCTTCCTCCTCCCCCGCTCCCTCCCTCTGTGCGCTCTTTTTTTTTTTTTTTGAGAGAGAGAGAATGAGAGAGAGAGAGAGAGAGAGCATGAGATGGGGGAGGGTCAGAGGGAGAAGCAGACTCCCCGCCGAGCAGGGAGCCCGATGCGGGACTCGATCCTGGGACTCCAGGATCACGACCTGAGCCGAAGGCAGTCGCTTAACCAACTGAGCCACCCAGGCGCCCCTGCGCTCTTCTGTCTTGACCCTGACCTCTGACCCAGCCGGACCTTGACTGGACCATCCTCCTGCCAGGCCAGGACATCTCCCGGCAACCCCCCAGCTCCCCACCCCCACCTCCCAAATCAAGGACCCACTTGCCACCACCTGCAGAACCTTCCAGGTACTCTCTTCCCTTTTCTCTTTCCCTCCTGCCCCCCTTGGGCCCATCTTCACCCACCTTGGGTCGTGCACGAGCAGCAGGGGTCTTCCTTGCCCTCCCAGCTCCCTCGGTCTGACACATCGGCTGTCCCAGGTCACTTCCTGCCCAACCCTGCCTTGAAGGCTGCCTGGGCCGTTTGGGGGGAGGGAGGCAGCAGGAACCACTGGGGCCTGGCGGCTTTGTAAAGATGAACCCTGCTTCCTAAACCAGCTCCAGCTCCTGGCATTTGCCAGCACGGCCCTGGGACCTGCGCTCAGGCTGGGTTTTGTCTGGCCAGACCCCCAGTCCCTGCCTCCTCACAGCACACGGAAGCCTCCAGGCCCATAGGTCATTCCATTTTCCTGATGACGTGAGCCCATAATGAGCAAATACTCTGCTCC